AGGTTTCAGTCGTTTACCACTTCGGTGAAACCCACGAGCATGGGTATGGTGCTGACAAACCTAGAAACATAATCGGGGCGAACCGGGATTTGAACCCACAATCATAGGTTTCTGGCGTGCCCAAGGGACGCAACTCTGCACAGCGAATCGCGGCGCCTTAGATGACTGGGCCACCCGTGCCCCCGTCCTCTGTATATGGTGGCCCCTTTACGTCAATAAATCATCAACCTAGACAAGCATCCAAGCAGCAGCTAAGAATACACATGGCTCCTGCGAGTTTTCAAGCAGGAGCCACTAGGCTGCCATTAATGAGAGGGTAACTGAAGAATCCCAACTTCCCGAGGCAATGGCGTTAATTGACTTTAAAAATCCAGTTCCCACCCTTGCCGAACTAGGCTGGAATTCCGGAGTTCCATTTTGGTTGGACTAACGAGTCTAACCATAGTCCAATTAAACTTGCGTAATTAACTCGACATCCGGTTCGGAAACAACATGAATATCTTGCAAATATCGGTCGACTGCAGGATTTGCAAAGCATGTGTACCGTCAACTGGGCGTCGACCGATATTTTCAAAATCTTTTCATTGCAACTGGTGACGCTACAATCAAGCCCAGAAATTCCAACGTAGTTCGGCAAGGGTGGAAGCTGGACTTTTATAGTCAGTTAACGCCCTTGCTTCTGGAAGATAAAGTTGATATTTTCATATTTTGGATTTTTCATATTTTTCAATTGAAAATCAAACATATGATAAAATTAACTGACAGGTATAGGTTCATTTGCTCCCCAGTTAACTATTGTGGAATATTTTTTTCTCTTCTAAAACATTAAAACAGAATCAGAATGCCTAAATTGTGATTGAGTGAGTGAGTTGATTATAACATCGCTTTTAACAGTATTCCAGTTATATCACAGCATGTCAGCTTAATGTGGGAGGAAAGCCCGAAGTGATGCAGGTCTCAGATATTACCACTTCGGTGAAACCCACAAGCACGGGTATGGTGCTGACAAACCTAGAAACATAATCGGGGCGAACCTCAATTCAAACCCACAATCATAGATTTCTGGTGTGCCCCAGGGACGCAACTCTGCACAGCGAATCGCCGCGCCTTTGACAACTGGGCCACCCCTGCCGCCCCTAAATTGTGTGGTTACCATGGTTAGTATTCACTCTCCAAGAAACCAAAATACAAAAAACATTGTAGTTTCCCATGAGATTTAATGGTCAAAGATAATAAATTGGATCTCCATCAACCAGACAACCATTGGACGGATCATTACAAACAGCACACGTATGTCGGAGTACAAACATTTCATGGACGGACAGTAATATACCTATATACATGTTCATATTTAATATGTATCCATAAATATTCTTAGCAACATTTAAGAGCCAGCAAATAACTCATATGTATTTCACAATTTGACTAACTTAAACATAGCAATGCATCTGTGAGTTTTGTCAAATTTCCAGTCATGACTCCTTAAAGTTTTCAACATTAAAAATGGATTTTTCAAAAGCAGTGTTTAATCCATTTGTCTTCTGGCAATAAAATATATTTAACCAAACATTAATGTATCATTAAGCCACATCCAGAGTAATGAAACATGGTTGATAACGGTAGTACTTTGATATTTAAAAACATGCACATCCTCTGGGCTGTATATTGTAAGTGTGACTCATGAATTTAGAGGCTGAGCTTATGACAATAATGAGTTACATAATAAATCTGTGAATTAATCAAGACAAATTTGAGGCACACTGTGCATGTGTTTATAGACAGGAATTCTTTCTGAAGGTTCATGTGCTAATATAGCTATGATTGAAATACTCCTGTAAATGTCAGTGTTCGCTCAAGTAAGTCTTGTGTCATGTGAATCATGAGATTATTGTGTCAGTGTGTTGAACCTTGGTCTAAAATGTGTCATGAAATAAATGCGAGTAGCACATTAAACTATAAAAATGAATAAGCAAATGAAAACACTAAGACTGTAGACTTGGAAATCCACGTCCTAGTATGTGGTGTTAGCAGTTAGACTGAATAATTTGCTATTTTAACAATCTTAACTTCAACTGCTTGACATGTGATCTAACTTGACAAGATATCACCGTGATCTTTGTTATATGTCCTTGAACCTGTCATGACAATATACTCCAATATGTCCACATAGAGGACACATTAGAATGTCACATTATGTGAGGGGGACATTTGCATTTTTCACATTAATTTCATGCTTGCCTTAATCATAATTTGTTTTGTGAATGTTTTTTTTTTGTAATTTGTAAAAGTTTTGTCATAATGAAATAAAAATCATCGTGACAAAAACATTTTAAGCCTACGAGCCCAAACATGTCTCTAAGGCATTATTTTCCGTAGATTTTAGAGTAATCACAGATGAGAATGGATATTTTCCTTTCCAGCTTAAACTTATTTGCAATGAGGCATATCCATAAATTAGGGTGTTTATAGGGGAAGCCATCAGATTTTAACAAATTTGGGTCACTAAAATTAGCGGATACACAGAAGATTCTCACCCCTGAGTAATTATATGTATTATTATCAGAAGAGATGATTAGTCCAAACAGAATGTTACTAGACAGGGGTTTCGGACAAGTGGTTAACGCCAATGTCAATGATCAGTGTGGAATGTTGTCTATGGATGACTGGTCCAAGAGTTACTTCCCTTCCCAGATCAATCTGTTTTCAACAGTTCCTTATAAGAAATAAGGGGAAGAAAAAGACAGTTGTAAAATGTACTCTACTCACATTCGTGAAATTATGCTTCAGGAGACTCACAAACTAAATAATATACTAGAATCCAAAATTTGATAATTATCCCCCCTACCCTCACCCCAAAGAAATTGTCTCTTTGATTTGCTAGTGTAACTGTGTCAACAAGACAATGTGAGTGAGTGAGTTGGGTTTATTGCCACTTAGAACAATATTCAAGTTACATCACGGCATAGACAACAAGTGAGTGAGTGAGTGAGTTTGGTTTTTACACCGCTTTTAGCAATATTCCAGCAATATCATGGCGGGGGACACCAGAAATGGGCTTCACACATTGTACCCATGAAGGGAATCGAACCCGGGTCTTCGACGTGACGAGCCAACGCCTCAACCACTAGGCTACCCGACCGCCCCGCATAGACAACAAGTGCACAATAACCTGTAAACATTCTTGAATAGAACCTCTCTGTATTTCTGAAAGATACTGAACACTGATAGCTATGAAGTTCAACAGAGCCCCAGGCACAGTGGGTGTGCTACGAAATGATTCACTTGTGTCGTGTCGAATAGGTCGGAGACATAACTATACCTTCTCTGAAGTCAATACACTGCTTCAGGCATCCTGAGGGATTATATTATATTCTGTGGGATCCTGTGATTTTTTATGCAGAGGGGATATTACTTCAGCTGCCTGTCTTTTTTAAATTTATTTTGGACCTAAATATTTTTTTCAAAACCCCACCTTGCAACAATGTACTTAGACTACTGTGGCAGACAATGTTTTTTTATTGAAACAGTCTAAAACTTTATTGTATTTTACAAGCACTTTCTGGGACAATATTCTCAATAAAAAACAAGAATAACAAATGGTCGTTCCTTAACACCTTGTAGCATGTATACTCACCACCAAAAGAAACGTGAACCATAGAAACATGTACAGTGAGTGAGTGAATGAGTGAGTTGGGTTTAACGCTGCTTTTAACAGTATTCCAGTTATATCACAGCGTGTCAGCTTAATGTGGGAGGAAAGCCCGAAGTGATGCAGGTCTCAGATGTTTACCACTTCGGTGAAACCCACGAGCACGGGTATGGTGCTGACAAACCGAGAAACATAATCGGGGCGAACCGGGATACGAACCCGCAATCACAGGTTTCTGGAGTGCCCAAGGGACGCAACTCTGCACAGTGAATCGTGGTGCCTTACACAAGTGGGCCTCCCGTGCCCCCGAAACATATACAGAAGCATGTACGTGAAGAAGAGATATTTCCAATGTGCATCACCTAATGACAAAACTATCAATCGGTCAAGTGTTTCCACCGTATTATTCTTATCACGATATGCTGCGCGAGATTTCCAAACTTTACACGTCATCCTGCACGAGACACATGGTGCAACCGAGTCATGGATCTATACGTCATGTGATGTGCTCATGAGCGTCAATTCAGACAACATACCAGTATGTTTGTTTGTGAGTCGAACCAAATCTAATATCTCTTGAACATGAGTAATTCTTCATATAATAACCAACAGGTATGGTATTCGTGTTTCTTTTGTTGTCGAGTAAATAATGATGTCACACACTAACACATTCATATAGATGCTGGAATGTCACTATCACAGACGTTGTTGTGAAACTAAGATGGGAACACAATAAACCTCAAACTAACATGATAAATTCAACAACATTTGAAGCATTTTCAAAACAATACAATACAATATAAGCTTATCTTTTCCCTGAATCTTTCAAATCTTCCTAATACAACAGTACCTTCTTTATCTCTTAATAAGCTTGAGGGCGCCCACTCCACCCTCCAGGCATCCGGCATACCACTGAATTTGTCTTGGCATCTGCTTTAAGAACTTGTGAGTCATATCAGTGTATAGCAAGTACAAGTACATTAGACTGGCTTTTCACATGGGGTTTAGAGCGGAATATTTTATTAACATGTCCTCATGTTTGAAAAAAAGATGAAAAATACATTTTATCATTGAATTATTAATATCCTCGTACCAGATGAACATTTCATGGCATCCGGCGTACTACAGTGGCATAGAATACCACTCAACAGGCTCTTCATCCGGCATACCAAAAGGGAGTTGACACACTCAAGCATGTATGTGACTTAAGGACAGGTACAGTTTGCATTGGTTCCAGGAAATATGCATACATATCCTTAACATGGATCTCTTGATGACCTTATGTCTCCTATACTAAACCTTCTGACTAACATGCCCAGTCTCACCCCCAGTCTCACCCCCATCCCCCCACCCCTTCTTTACATGAGTACCTACCACAGGCACTTCTCTTGCTTTCTGACCCTTACCATTTCCTCCCATTCATTATCTGATTTAGTCAGCATCCTCATCGAAGAGGATGTCTACCCATCATGGACATCTTATCCTTCCCCTCCCATCCTGCTCTGCCTACAGACTCCGCCCTCTCCTTACAGCACAAGCCTGTCCCCCTCATAGTAGGTGGTGCCTGTTCCCCATAACACCAGATGCACCCACAGTCCCACCCCCTCCACTCTCTCCAGCATCAGACTCCGCCCTCTCCTTACAGCACAAGCCTGTCCTCCTCATGGTAGGTGGGTGCCTGTTCTCCGTACCCCCCAGTTGCACCCACAGCCACACCCCCTCCCCCAATGGCTCCACCCCCTCGCTCCAGGATGGTCTTCTTGCAGTCCATGAGTCTCTCCAGGTCCCTCCACATCTTCATCTGCCTCATGTTGGGGTCGTGGTTGTCGCGGACCATCTTCTGTTTCTCACGCAGACCCCGGCCAAGGTTCTCCTGCTCCTGGATCTTCTTTGAGTACAACTCCCTGAAAACAGAAACAAATACACTAGTCAACACAAATGCAACTAAATAACCCAGTAACTTGGCAACCCGTGAAGATCTGGGGTAGAATAGGTCTTCAGCAACCCATGCTTGCCGTAAAAGGTGACTATGCTTGTCGCAAGAGGCGACTAACAGGATCGGGTGGTAAGGCTCGCTGACTTGGTTGATGCATGTCATCGTATCCCAATTGCATGGATCGATGCTTATGATATCAATCACTGGATTGTCTGGTCCTGACTTGATTATTTCGACGTCTCATAGCTGGAATATTGCTGAGTGCGGCATTAAACAACAAACAAACAAACATTAACTTGGCCAAGCAAGTTAGTGATCTGACAGCAAGGATTTGGGTACAATGACTCATGGTAAGATCAGATAACCACATCTCGAGTGACAAAGTCATATAATACCAATGACCCTCCGTATATGACTGTAGATAAGCCATCTCATAGTTAAGCCAAGGTATTAACTTGACGCTTGAAATCAAAATGTTATGTCCGGTATATAAGCCGGACCACCAACCTAAAACTACATCAGCTAATCATTATCCATCATGGAAAATATCAACAAATCTGTACTGAATTATGCAGGTTAATCCTGTTGTTACAGTGTCTGGTAATAAAAATGTTCATTGTATATATCTGGACTTATGTTTGTAATCCATTTTATTAACTTTAATAAAAAATTCATTCCATAATGTCCAAAATTTCATTCAGTAATTTCGGCGAAATCCTGTGTCCCTACAAAACAACTTCCGTTTACCCCGTTCCATAAGGTCAGCTTTACCACACAGTGTGAGAGTGGAGTGGAGTGGAGTGGAGTGGAGTGGAGTGGAGCGGAGCGGAGCGAGTGAGTGAGTGAGTTAAGATTTAACGTCACATCGGCAGTATTTCAGCAATATGATGACAATATACCGTGACAGTACCAACTCACATTATTCACAGCAACCATGATTATATTACCGGTATTGATGCCTTGAAATGAACTTTAGTTGACAGAGAATGGATACATATGTTGGTTGGCAATATTCAGCAATATTCCAGCTATATGACGGCAGTCTGTAAATAATCGAGTCTCGACCAGACAATCCAGTGAATGATATCATGAGCATCGATCCACGCAACTGGGATATGATGACATGCATCAACCAAGTCAGCGAGCCTGACCACCCGATCCCGTTATTTGCCTCTTACGACAAGCATAGTCGCCTTTTACGGCAAGCATGGGTTGCTGAAGACCTATTCTACCCCGGATCTTCACAGGCCGAATACATATGTCCTAACTGTCCTAATTGTTGTAGTGTAGCATGCTTGCCCACCTCATAGTGCGTTTCTTCTCCTGTGGGTCGGAGGAGACATATGCCTTCATCTCCTCCTGCACCTTGGTCAGCTGGATGCTGAGGACGTTGATCATGGAGGAGAGGTAGTGGTAGCGCGACTCCTCGGCCTGACACTCCTCCTGATAGCCTCGAACCTCCTGGTCCAGCCTCGTCATGTTACTCTCCAACCCAGCAGATGTGCGGTCGTACGTCACCTTCTTCCCTTCATGTTCAGGCTGCAGTTGCTGTAGAGGGGAAAAAAGCGATCAGAGTGAGTGAGTGAGTATGGTTTAATGACTCTTTTACCAATATTCCAGCAATATCACGGCGGGGGATACAAGATAAGGGCTTCACACATTGTACCCATGTGGGGCATCGAACCCAGGGCTTCATGGTGACGAGTGAACACTTTAACCGCTAGGCTACCCCACCGCCCCAATCATAAATCAGCAATACACCCTTCCAGAAATTGGGTTGAACGACTTGTGGTTGGTTGGTTGGTCGGTTTGTTGTTTAACGCCGCACTCAACAATATTCCAGCTATATGACGGCGGTCTGTAAATGATCGAGTCCGGACCAGACACTCCAGTGATTAGTATCATGAGCATCCATCCACGCAATTGGGATCGATGACATGCATCAATCAAGTCAGAGAGCCTGACCACCCGATCCCGTTGGTCGCCTTTTACGACAAGCATAGTCGCCTTTTACGGCAAGCATGGGTTGCTGAAGACCTATTCTACACCAGAATCTTCACAGGGTTTAACGACTTGTGGAAAAGTATTTCTGTTGGCTTGATGAGGAGGAAGCCCAAAGTGATGCAGGTGCTGTTTATACAGGGCGAAACCTATGAGCATAGTGTGGAGCAGACAAACCAAGAATCATAACCACAACATATCTGAGATTAAATCCCACAATCTTCTGGCATGTCTAAGGGAAGCAACCCTGCACAGCAAATTCCTGAATGTCAGATGACTGGGGCACAGTTTCCAGTTTGAGTGAGTGAATTAGGTTTAACATAGCTTGGAGAAGTCAATACAACTGGTCAGTGAGTGAGTTTTGAAGGGTATATCACGGGGTGTCAGCTTAATGTGGGAGGAAAGCCCTGAAGTGATGCAGGTCTCAGACGTTTACCACTTCGGTGAAACCCACGAGCACGGGTATGGTGCTGACAGACATAGTACAATAATCAGGTAAACCTGGATTCGAACCCACTATCATAGGTTTCTGGCACGTCTACCACCTCTTTCAGAAGGTGAGGTAAGGTGGGGTTTAACATCGCGTCCAAGATTATTGCACTTATATAGCGACGTGCATGCACGTGTGTGTGTGTGTGCGCGCGTGTGTGGCTGCTTGTACTAGTCCAGACTGATGCCGATTTATTGTGCTAGCTCACTGAGATACCATGCCGCAGTTTAACATAAATACCCCAGTCAGACACAGAATACTGACTCCTAGCCGACCAGTCCTCGGTTTAGTCCCTTAATGCCGATCGCCAGACACGGTAACAACAAGTACCATCTTTAACGTCTTTTGGTATGACGCGGCCTGGGATCGCACCCAGGACCTTCCGCTCTCTGGGCGGACACCCTACCACTGGACCACAGAGGCAGTCCCCTTTCAGAAGGTACTCTGTAAGGAGGGCTTGCTATTTTGTCACACTAAGCAAAACTCAAAGGATGCCGGAATTGGGGGTTCACAGCATTACCAACATCCCAGGATTCAAAATAAATTTCTATATTTTCCACAGCCTGAAACTGCTAACCTGTATTCTCTCTCTCAGGGGCCTTGTTTCTCGCAGGACCGGAGCAAGTGTGTTCCTCTTCTCGGCTATAGCTGTGTGGAGCCTGCGAACCATGTCAGAGATGTCGTCCAGGGTGCGGCCCTTGAAGTCATCCACCTCACTCTTCATGGAGGACACCTTCTCCAGGTCCTCCTGTGTCTGGCGGTAGCCCTCCACGCCCCGCTTCCTCTCAACAGCAGACTGTACAAGACACACAGCAGGAATTAGTGAGTGAGTATGGTTTTACGCTGCTTTTAGCAATATTCACATCACCAGCAATATCACGGCGGGGGACACTAGAAATGTGCTTCACACATTGTACCCATGTCAGGAATCGAACCCGGGTCTTCGGTGTGACGAGCGAACGCTTTAACCGCTAGGCTACCCGACTGCCCTCCAGCAGGAATGAGTAAACTTTGTAAAAAATAAGCAAGTTCATAAAAATCCACACAAAACACATGTAAATGTTTTCTACTCCAAAAAAGTTTAAGAACACCCAATGCTTTCATACTATCAGCAATCTGTCATGCCACAATAGTAGTGAGTGAGTATGGTTTTACGCCGCTTTTAGCAATATTCCAGCAATATCACGGCGGGGGATACCAGAAATGGGCTTCACACATTGTACCCACGTCGGGAATCGAACCCGGGTTTTCGGCGTGACGAGCGAACGCTTTAACCACTAGGCTACCCAACCGCCCCTAGCCACAATAGTAATATAAAAGAACCGGTGTTCTTTAACTTCTTTTGAGTAGTATAATAGTATTGTCGACGTATTGTTTAATGATATTACAATGATAATGACAACACATTGTTGACCATGTTGACGTGTTGACCCACACAGCTGCAAGACCTGTTTTCCAATACGGAAAGCTTTGCTTCCTTACTCTAACTATTGTTAATAATAAAGAGATTATTATAGTTGTGTGTACTGATTTAAAAAACTTCATTTTCCTCGCTCTAGATTAGGAACTACATAAAATTCAGATACATGTTTCATAAAATCAGTACAATACATACACACTGACATAGACACAGGCTTCATTTAACACTTTAAATTTGTATCTTGTATAAAGCTTCACTCAGCAATATTCCAGCCACTCGATGATGAAGGCTTGTGAATTGAGTCTGGACCAGACAATCTGATGATTGACATCATGAACAGATCCACACATTTGGTTATGATGCTGACGAACCTAGAATCATCATCAGGGCGAACTGGGATTCAAACCCACAATCTAAGGTTTCTGGCATGTCTGATGGACACAACTCTGCAGAGCCACCCATGCCCCACATGGCCACCGCACTCCTTCACTATCGGGTTTCTGGACAATGTGTAAGTGTGCTTCCCTCACCAGCTGCGAGTTCATGTAGTCGTCCCTCTGTCTGAGGATCTCCTCGGTGCGAGACAGCACCCCCAACTCAGCTCGCAGCTCCGCCAGCTCCTGCCTCTTCTTCTTGTACACTGTGCTCTTCGACCGTAGCTTGTTCACGTATCTCTTGAACTAAACGCAAAACCAGGAATTAAAGAAATACCTCTTTTGATTATAAAATGCATCCTTGACCATCTCCCCAAGCGTCCCCAACTACTTACGTCTTCTCCCTTACGCACCTCTCCCCCCTCGGCATCCTTCACCATCTCCCCACCCAAACCCACCCCATCTCCTCCACTACTTACGTCCTCTCCCTTGAGCACCTCTCCCCCCTCGGCATCCTTCACCATCTCCCTCTTCTGGTCGACCTCCTGCATGGCATGGTTGTACTCCTCCCTCATGTCTCTCAGTCTCTCGGCCGCCGCCTCCTTCTTGTGGGCAATAATCCCTGCCTAGACACACAACATCACACCTTCAGAAACCAAAATACACTGCTGCCAACTCTCCCACAATACAACTAGTATTTTCTTACCATCGTCTGGTCACGACTCCAAAGTCCGACGATAAACTCACTTGATAATCGTATCTTTTAGTTTCAATTTCGACCACAGCAACTGATTATACGAGAGGAGTGTCTCAACTGGACAGATGCAAAATCATAAATTAACTTCATACAAGCCATAACAACATGGGCTCACTTTCGAAGAAGCCAGAGAAAGTGAGTGAGTGAGTTTGGTTTTACGCTGCTTTTAGCAATATTCCAGCAATATCACGGCGGGGGACACCAGAAATGGGCTTCACACATTGTACCCATGTCGGGATTCGAACACGGGTCATCGGCATGACGAGCGAACGCTTTAACCACAAGTCTACCCGACCGCCCCAGCCAGAGTAAGGTTAAATAACATGTGACCCTTTCATTACCAGTGTCTATGAACTTGCAACAAATAAGGGTTAAAGAGTCCTTGTCGTGACCCAGTGATTTCGAGGGTCCTAAGATTAAAATACTGTATCAGAAAACCGTATGGACACTACAATCATCTTTGATTTTGAGAACTACATTTATCCAAAAGTTATCTTAATCAACATTCTTACAGTTTTGCTCAGACTTTCATTATTTCTTGTTTTGCCATATTTTGCATGTATCCCACATACCATATTTGACGTAATAAGCGCTCAAGGCGCTCTCAAAGTTAGAAATAGGGGGCTCTTATTAGAATATTATTTTGTTGAAAAAAACAGAGTTGAAAGATCAATTTCGTGGTTTATGCTGACAGCCTGAAATGTTTATGTATGACAGATATATTTTTCTAGAATTTAATTGCCCATTATTAAGGATGCATATAACACACGAATGCGAATTGTACGCGAATAAATAAGTCTTGTGTACATTGATCAATCAGAAGGGGTGCTAATTGGGATTGTTCACTAGCCAATATATTAGCAAATACCGCCGTGGGCGCTTATTAGAGCAGGGCGCTTATTACGTCGAATAAGGTATTATTATTACAGCAACACCCTGCCATGGTTCCAGGTTTACCTGTTGCCGGAACAGTGACAGCTTGTCATCCGTGGGCTCGGTGCTCATCATGCGCTTCTCAGTCAGCTTGTTCACCTCGGAGTTCAGCTCAGTGATCTGTCAATGTATGCACAGGTCAGAACCATTCAGTTGTGTTTTTTGTTTGTTTAACGCCGCTCTCAGCAATATTCCAGCTATATGACGTCAGTCTGTAAATAATTGAGCCTGGACCAGACAATCCAGTGAGTGACATCATGAGGATCGATCAACACTTTTTGGATACGATGACATGCATCAACCAAGTCAGCGAGCCTGACCACCTGATCCTGTTAGTGGCCTCTTACGACAAGCATAGTCGCCTTATCCGTTCAGTAGTGAACACTACTTTGTACAGTTTTTTCAGTGGCATTCTTACGTTGAATAATAGATAATAAACATGTCAGAAATGTTCAACTTTAATTCCAACAGAGTTACAGAAATTAACACATTGAAAAGCTACATCAACACGAGGTCACCATTACCAATATTATGGTGTCAGTTTTAGAAATTATTTTTTTTCAAGAATAATCCAGAGGACTTACCTGGTCGTTGAGGTCATCGAGGTCAGACTGTCCCATAGCAGGCACGGCCACGACCTTCTGCAGGTCCTGTACCGCCTTCTTGCGGGCGGAGATGTCCTTGGGCAGTCTCTCCTTCACGATGTAGCCATTGGCCCTCGTCTCCTCCTCCAGGTGCTGCATCAGGGCTGTAACACAACAGTACCACTCGAGACTCCTCCAAAAGTTCCAAAACAGGAAAATAAATGTTGAGTCAGTGTATTTCATTGTTTGATCACATAATGTTTGTATGTTTGTTAATTTGTTGTTTAAATACGCACTCAACAATATTCCAGCTGTATGACGTCAGTCTGTAAATAACTGAGTCTGGACCAGACAATCAAGTGATTGACATCATAAGCATCGATCCACTGTCTGGAGTGTCTCTACTCCGGGGTACTAGACTATGTACTCACTGTCTGGGGTTGCTGTACTCCGGGGTACTAGACTATGGACCCACTGTCTGGAGTTGCTCTACTCCCGGGTACTAGACTATGGACCCACTGTATGGAGTTGCTCTACTCCGGGGTACTAGACTATGGACCCACTGTATGGAGTTGCTCTACTCCGGGGTACTAGACTATGGACCCACTGCCTGGAGTTGCTCTACTCCAGGGTACTAGACTATGGACCCACTGTATGGAGTTGCTCTACTCCGGGGTACTAGACTATGGACCCACTGTATGGAGTTGCTCTACTACGGTGTACTAGACTATGGACCCACTGTATGGAGTTGCTCTACTCCAGGGTACTAGACTATGGACCCACTGTCTGGGGTTGCTGTACTCCGGGGTACTAGACTATGGACCCACTGTATGGAGTTGCTCTACTCCAGGGTACTAGACTATGGACCCACTGTATGGAGTTGCTCTACTACGGTGTACTAGACTATGGACCCACTGTATGGAGTTGCTCTACTCCGGGGTACTAGACTATGGAGCCACTGTATGGAGTTGCTCTACTACGGTGTACTAGACTATGGACCCACTGTATGGAGTTGCTCTACTACGGTGTACTAGACTATGGACCCACTGTATGGAGTTGCTCTACTACGGTGTACTAGACTATGGACCCACTGTATGGAGTTGCTCTACTCCGGGGTACTATACTATGGAGCCACTGTATGGAGTTGCTCTACTACGGTGTACTAGACTATGGACCCACTGTATGGAGTTGCTCTACTACGGTGTACTAGACTATGGACCCACTGTATGGAGTTGCTCTACTACGGTGTACTAGACTATGGACCCACTGTATGGAGTTGCTCTACTACGGTGTACTAGACTATCGACTCACTGTCTGGGGTGGCTCCTACTCCGGCCTGTCGGACCTGCTGCAGCTGGGCCTGCATCCGTTTGATCCTCTGCTCCGAGTGCTGGATCTGGGGAGGTAAAGAGACTTACAATACTGAAATACAAGCTCCATTCCCATGCTCTTACCCTTGCGTATGTAGAATGTACATGAAATTATACAGGGAACACGATACACAATAATCAGTACATTTATTCCACTTCTTTAGGCCTACATTGCAATAAACATATCCAATTGAGAATAAGATACAGACAGTGACACAATCGTCTCAGCCCTCCGCAACACACTGTCCCACTCGCAACAATTACCCAATTACTAACTACCTCATACAATTACACCACAATCCCATTTATATACATACACAACACGGAATGTAGGGAATCCAAGAATACTAACAAACCATGAAAACCAGAAGAAACCAAACCAATAGGGGCTGAATGTAAAGGGAAAGAACTCTGTAATTACATAATGTGTAGGCCACTACAAAATATGGCCCAAACATTACTTTACACAAACTATTTTATTCCCTCGAGCTTATTTAGATTAATCAATACACATCAATCAACCATTATTTGCAAAATATCTGTCCAACAATATCTGAAAAAATGTCATCAACAAATGCCGCTTATCATTTTGTATACAAAAGTTTTTTGACAAGGTGATGACCATAAATGAAGACACTTGGGTAATGCTGAATAAATAAAAAAAATTATAACTTTTTATTTCTGTTGCATTTTTACACATGGGCTATACAATGTAATACATAGGCAGTAAACAAAAGTTGAGAACAGAATTATTGTGTGGGAAACAAAAGATGACAAGATGACCAAAATTTGTAGAATTTATCGATACTATTACTTATGAGAGCTGTGTATTTTGTAACCATGTAATATTTGTAAATTTCTTTTTTTAAAAACTGGAAGTTCGGTACCTTTTTTTAATATCTATATTTAAAAATTACGAATTTGCAAAGTAAGATAATTACATTTATAGAATCGTTGGGTCGCTGATCCAAGCAGAATGAATAAATATGTTGCAAGTGATTCTATGGTATCTGATCTGCTAACAAAGCAATTTGTCTTTCCGTTAATGTTTCCATAAACTGACACAAAATAAGACATGCCCACTATTGGACTTCTGTTCCCTGATTGGCTGATAATAGAATGGGACTATTGTTGTATTGTTGCCCTGAAAGATGTCACTGATTTCGTACTGTTGTCCACAGTTTTGTTGAAATATTGTTTTATAAGAATTGATTTCAATATGCTTTTGCGTTATTTAGTTATAAACATAAAACGGAGATTACACTATGTAAATATTGCACAGTCAGAGCATAACGTTTATTTTTTATACTTATCCTGCATTACATATTGCACATTGCCCTTACTACAGAAGTCCTAACTGGAAATGAATGACAATCTATCAGTGTCTTCAGTAACTTTTTTGCCCAACATGGATGCAAACTTGTTCAGGGAAAAGCTTTTAGAAATATGGATGCAGCAGTCCTTTGAAAATGGGGTCGGACTACCCTGGTGACAATGAGAACAAAAACTGACAGAGAGACTGATGAGGCATCAGGTGGCAGACAAGAAAGGAGGTGCACCCTACTATTGCACCCCAAGTAAGGGTGTGGTGTACATCTTCATCACTTACGTTCATCAGCTGCTCCTGTCTCTGGGCGGCGATCTTCTTCTCGCGGTCCCGCTCCAGACGCAGGTTCTTGGCCACATTCATCATCACCTGGGAGTTGGGGTGAGATTCCACCTGCACAGCAACAAGCGACACAAATGTACACTACATTCACACTTCAACAGGGCAGCCAGGAGGACATTTCTGTAGGCCAGGACCCAACACCCATACTTCAACATAGGCTTACCGCCAGCGTAGCAATAAGACGATCGTAACTCCCATACTTCAACACAGGCTTACCACCGTTGTAGCAATAAGACGATCGTAACTCCCATACTTCAACACAGGCTTACCACCGTCGTAGTAATAAGATGATCGTAACTCCCATACTTCAACATAGGCTTACCACTGTCGTAGCAATAAGACGATCGTAACTCCCATACTTCAACACAGGCTTACCACCGTCGTAGCAATAAGACGATCGTAACTCCCATACTTCAACACAGGCTTACCACCGTTGTAGCAATAAGACGATCGTAACTCCCATACTTCAACACAGGCTTACCACCGTCGTAGTAATAAGATGATCGTAACTCCCATACTTCAACATAGGCTTACCACTGTCGTAGCAATAAGACGATCGTAACTCCCATACTTCAACACAGGCTTACCACCGTCGTAGCAATAAGATGAAAGTAACTCCCATACTTTAACATAGGCTTACCACCGTCGTAGCAATAAGACGATCGTAACTCCCATACTTCAACATAGGCTTACCACCGTCGTAGCAACAAGATGAAAGTAACTCCCATACTTTAACATAGGCTTACCACCGTCGTAGTAATAAGATGATCGTAACTCCCATACTTCAACACAGGCTTACCACCGTCGTAGTAATAAGATGATCGTAACTCCCATACTTTATCATAGGCTTACCACCGTCGTAGTAATAAGATGATCGTAACTCCCATACTTCAACACAGGCTTACCACTGTCGTAGCAATAAGACGATCGTAACTCCCATACTTCAACCTAGGCTTACCACCAACGTAGCAATAAGATGAAAGTAACTCCCATACTTTAACATAGGCTTACGAACGTCACAGCAGTAAGAGGAACGTAACTCCCATATTTTCTTATAGGCTTATAAATATCATAGCACTGAGACGATCATAACTCCTTTACTTCAACATAGGCTTACGAACTTCAGAGCACAAAGATGATCATAAAACATAGGCTTACGATCGTCGTAGCACAAAGATGATCGTTACTCCCATACTTTAACATGGGCTTATGGCCGTCGCAGCACTAAGATGATCGTAACTCCCATACTTTAACATAGGCTTACGACCATCATACCACTCAGATCATTGGTATAACTCCCATATTTTAACATAGGCTTACGATCTTCGTAGCACAAGAGATGATCGTAACTGCCTCACTTTAACATGGGCTTTCGACCATCGTAGCACTAAGATGATAGTAACTCCTGGCTTACGACTGTCGCTGAACTAAGATGATCATAACTCCCATACTTTAACATAGGCTTACGACCATCGCTTTGTGCAACTGAGTTCTGTTCAATAAAGTCAATGAAATCAATAAACCAAGCAGATCCTGGCAGCTGAGGGAAGCAACTCAGGTTCACTGTCTGGACATACCTTGCGGCGCAGTCTCTCGATACGCTTGATGAGTTGTTCCTTCTCGTCCTCCATGTTGGCAATGTCCTTACGGATCTCCCCTGTGGTGTGTCCGGAGTTCCGCAGAGTCTCGGCCTGTTTGTGGAGGTCCTTGAACTGCTCCATCATCTCTTCATACTGGAGAAGGAGTGAGTGAGTGAGTAAGTGAGTGAGTGAGTGGTTGGATTGGTGAGTGAGTGAGTGAGTGAGTGAGTGAGTGAGTGAGTGAGAAAGTGAGTGAGTGAGTGAGTGAGTGAATGGATTGGTGAGTGAGTGAGTGAGTGAGTGAGTGAGTGGATGGATTGGTGAGTGAGTGAGTGAGTGGTTGGATTGGTGAGTGAGTGGGTGGGTGGGTTGGTGTTTGAGTGAGTGAGTGGATGGATTGGTGAGTGAGTGGATGGATTGGTGAGTGAGTGAGTCAGTGAGTGGATGGATTGGTGAGTGAGTGGATGGATTGGTGAGTGAGTGAGTCAGTGAGTGGATGGATTTGTGAGTGAGTGAGTGAGTGAGTGGGTGAGTGAGTGGGTGAGTGAGTGAGTGAGAAAGCTTTGTTAGATGATGATATTCACAATCATGAGCAACATGTGTGACAAACATCCAAAGTGATGCATCTCTTTTAGCTATTTACCATTTTGGTGAAACCTTTTGCAATTTTTGTTTGTTGTAATCAAGTCTGGACCAAACAATCCAGTGATTGATATTATGAGCAACGATATATGACGTCAGGGTACAATGACATGCAAACAAAGTCATTGAGACTGACCACCTGATCCATTTGGTTGCCTCTTTGACCAGCATGGGTTCCGGGCGCTCTATTCAAACCAGGAATCCCCACAGAACAATCGCGCAAGGTCAAGATTGCTGAACATGCATGCAGAGTGAGGGAGTAACTTACTGATGTCATGACATTATTGTCATTGGTCACTGACAAAATACTCCTTTGTTTGTTTGTTTTGTTTGTCTGTTGTGTAACGCCACACTCAGCAATATTCCAGCTATATGACGGGGGTCTGTAAATAATCGGGTCTGGACCAGACAATCCAGTGATTGACAACATGGGATAAGATAACATGCATCAACCTAGGCAGTGAACCTGACCACTCAAACCCGTTAGTCACCTCTTATGACAAGCATAGTAGACTTTTACAGTAATACACCTTGTCACACAGAAATGCTTCATATGAAGATTCATATTGAGAAATTCACTACATGTACAGGATTTTACGAGCTGAATCTATTCGGCTAGCTGACCATCAAAGTTGCTTGTTTCCATGACGACCTACCTGATTAAAGATGGAGACGATGTCCTCCTCAGTCATGATGGCCGCTGGCACCTCCACTTTCACCAGGTATTTGGCCAGGTAAGCTCTCTTCTGCAGGTCGATGACCCGGGGCAGCATCCATTCCAGAATGGGGTATATGATGGGCTTTTCCCCCTGGACCAAACCAGCTCTGAAGGCACTCCTAACGAGGGAAAACAATACCATCAGCAGGAGATCGAAACGATCATACAGTTCATATCCATCACATTCTTCCACCTACAAGTACCCTTGAAATCTGCTTGTTAGGTTTTGTTTGTTTGTTGTTTAACGCCGCACTCAGCAATAATCGAGTCTGGACCAGACAATCCAGTGATTAATATCATGAGCATTGATCCACGCAATTGGGATTGATGACATGCGATCCCGTTAGTCACCTTTTACGACAAGCATAGTCACCTTTTACAGCAAGAATGGGTTGTTAGGGAAACGTTATTTGATAATAATGGAAACAAATACACGAACACTAAATTACATGGCCTAATAATGATTAACAATTTTCTGACATAAAATTCTCTGATTTTCAAGTTCCCTTGAAAGATGTTTGTTAGGGTCAAAGTTTGTTATTGACAACAATAATTATAATTTTATACATTGTTCGTTATATACTTTTTAGCTCGTAAACGTCCACCATCTTGGATAAAACAAAACACAATACACATAACTGCAGCATTGACTTGTATTAGCAGTGATCACTTCATAGCATTCAACTGATACCCTTTCGTAGCATTCATTTAATAACACCAGAAATGGGCTTCACACATTGTACCCATGTCGGGAATCAAACCCGGGTCTTCGGCGTCACGAGCCAACACTTTAACCACTAGGCTACCCGACCGTGCCTGAAGAGATAATAGATAATAGAAGCTGTAGATAAATCTAGGTTGCCAGTCGTTGCCAGTCGTCGCCAATCGTAAATTTAAGTTGCACTGGCCGCCCAAATGGTCGCTCCTTAGAGGGCTGGACTATTTCATTAGCTTGACACAGGATGTGCGACCATAGAATTTGCCAGGTCGTCATTGGAGGCTCAAAGGAGGCAGAATGGTTGCCTAGGTCGTTCCAAGGTGGTACACATGAGGTTCAGACATCGCCATGGACACTGTGATTTTTTTAACATGTTCAAAACAGTCGCGCAAAGGTCGCCGAGGAGGTGTGTTTCTCAAAGGTGGCTCAAAAAAGGCAGAAGGGAGGCACAAGCATTGTTGTTGTTGCAGAATAAAGGCACAGTGGTCACCCAATGGTCGTCAGGTAATAGATGTGTTCTTCTGAAATATTTTCCCGTCAATCTGGGCGGCGCTTCTGCCTCCCTTGTGTCTCCTTTGGGCGACCAACAGCGTGCACTGACTGTGACAATCGGCAAACACCGTGCCTCCATTCAGCAACCATGGAAACCCTTGAGACACCATGGCAATGCTTCTGCCTCTTTTTCTGCCTCCTTTGAGCTACCTGTAGTGCCTCCTCAGCCTGCCCATAAATAGAGGGCTTGTACCTGCAGTGTTTCATTGTGGTTGCAGACACTGAACAACTCGAGCAGTTACTACTGAACTACTGCTGGAGCAGTCACATAGATACATGATTTTCTGGGTTTAGGCAACCATTGAGCGTCCAGGCCAGTTTTTGATCGCAACACTGTGTAAAGAGGCCTTTAGCCAGGGATTGTAAAAATCAGGAGGGACCGGTTGTTATCTCCACACATCTAGTTCTTTTAGTTCTTTTACACAAAAAAAAAACTAGTTCGAAATGGGCCGCGAACTAGCAAGATTGGACCAATGGTGTCTACCCCTGAAAAAGCCACCCTTGTTAGTAAATATATAACAGCCAATGCCATATAGAGTAGTAGTGGGACGATACACCGATGCATTAGTGGATCGTGAAGAACTAGTCCGAAATGAGCTGCAAACTCGCAAGATTGGACCAGAGGTGTCTACCCCTGAAAAAGCCACCCTTGTTAGTAAATATATAACAGCCAATGCCATATAGAGTAGTAGTGGGACGATACACCGATGCATTATATTAAGTGGATCGCGAATTTGTACTTCTCAATACAAATATCATTCACAATCGCACACTAAGTAAAAAGTATCGATTCTTAACTTAATGTATACTTAAATAAATGTTACACCAAACACTATTTTCTTGAGAAAATGGTAATATTTTTATCAATTGTGCCATACTGGGCACTACAAACTGTAAATCGTTAGTGTGTCAGGTATTTGGCCATCCTGTCTTTGAAAAATATGGCTTACACACCACAGAGAAGAGACATGCAAGTATCATGTCGATGATACGTATCAGATTGTGAGCAAGGTCTCGTGATACGTATCTGATCGCACAGTTGGTGTATCGTCCCAGCCCTAAGATATACAGTAGGTAAAGCAGACAGTTGTAACTTGTAGCAGCAGGGTAGATGAATGTTCTACAGTGTTCTACACTATAGAACAATGGGCTCGACAGATCTAAGCAAAGACAAAAGGACTTACGGATCACTGAAAATCAAAACATACAGCGTTAGTATGCAACCAAATTGAATGAAAGAACGAACATGGCCACGATGTGGAAATGATCAACTAATGCATAGTTATATGAAGCGTAATGACAAAACAATTCTGTATCAGTTTGAAATTGTTTTACCATACGGAATGGTTCATAAATTGGAACTTTAGAAGTGTAACAATGACTAACGATACAATGGGGTCGCGATACAATATGTATCCCGATTCAGCACTTTTATTTAAGATGATATTTTTTTTTTGCAGGTGAATCACAACCCTGAATCATTTGTTTATAAATTTCAGATATTGAAGATGGGATATTGTAGGGCAGAAACTGATTGTTGCAAGTTTCAGTTATTATTTACATGTTTTTACACCAATATGTAATGAAACGTAATGTTTTGTTTGTGTGTTTGTTGCTTAAACCTGCACTCAGCTATATTCCATCTATATGCTGCGGTCAGTAAATAATCGAGTCTGAACCAGACAATCCAGTGATTGACATCATGAGCATCGATCTACGCAATTGGGATACGATGATATGCATAAACCAAGTCATCAAGCCTGACCACCCGATCCCACTAGTCGCCTCCTACGACCAGCATAGTCATCTCTTACCGCGAGCATGGGTCGCTGAAGACCTATGATGTTGGTTGGTTGGTTTGTTGTTTAACGCCGCACTCAGCAATATTCCAGCTATTTGATGGCGGTCTGTAAATAATCGAGTCTGGACCAGATAATCCAGTGATTGATATCATGATCATCGATCCACACAATTGGGATCGATGAGATGCATCAACCAAGTCAGCGAGCCTGACCACCCGATCCCTTTAGTCGCCTTTTACGACAAGCATAGTCACCTTTTACAGCAAGCATGGGTTGCTGAAGACCTATTCTACCCCGGAATCTTCACGGGTCACCTATGATGTGAAGTAATGTAATGTAATGTAATGTAATGTAATACAGGGGTTGAAAATCAATGTATTGTACCAGTTGTATTGAGGACGTTGTATCGCTGTATCGTTACACCACTATTAAAATTTATGAATATTCTGACAAAAACCATTTGAAGTCCACTATTCAATTATCAATACTTCCATGAACAGTTGACATCAATAAAGGATTTGAAAAGTTTGTTTTTGCCATCATTTTTTAAGCAATTACCCAACTTAACCTACACTAGATCACAGCTCCAGATAACTTAAACATCCAAATAGTAGAACAACACCATTATTTACCCAGTGTATTCTTTTCAACTTGGGTATTAGTATTTCTTTACAGACTTTCATTTACTGATTGAATGCATGCATCACACATGCATAAACCCTACTGCAGTGAATAATGCATAAAACAGGCCCTATGTCTTGTTTATTGTTGATCAAACGTGCATATAACTGTCAAAAGTTAATGCGACACGTTAGACATTTGGGGCAGCACACAAAGAGGTGCATAGAGGGTATTTCATGTGTAAAGTGAAATATCATGTTTCTCTTATCGACTGACGGGTGTAGCCACGAGTGAAAATATCTCCTTTTCCCCCCGTCATGAGATGAGAGAAACATGATATTTGACGAGACATATAGACATGTCTCCTTGAAAATTAAATTATTTCATTACTAATTTAAACGCTTGAAACCTAAATTCTCTCTATCTAACACACAGTGGCGGTTCACCACGCCTTGTATTTGCGACTTAAAAAGTAGTTTTGTGTTTGCAAAATCTTAAAAAATACAAACAAAAATATCCAAAAATATTTAGGGTCACTGAAATTCTTTATCATACATTTAAATATGATTATATATACAAATTCAACTTTGAGCAATAATATTCTTGAAAACTTGGCGATGTCTGTTGTAAGCTAAAGAATACACGCTGGTCAAGTAACAAAAATTGAATTGAACAGTCTCGATTGACGAGTCAAATGAGAAATTTACAGTTCATAACGAAACATTTTCGAGAGAATAACAAACATGAATGATGAAGCGAAATTAACTCCATAAATGACCATTTGCCATTATTTGCCTTGTCAATGTGGAACTAACGTAAAAAGGACATCAACAGTTTGTGAACAGGCCAGTCAATTATGATAAAGGGAGAGAATTTAAGGGGAGGTAACTCTTGTATGATAATAGTTCCGTCAAGGTTTTATCTTCACTGCAGTGAAATATCAAGTGTTATGTTCACTGCAATGAAAATATCACTTTCCTCAACTTCAGAAAACTCAGACTTTCACACTGAAGTATATATAATAAATATTACAAGTCACCTCTCAAAACTATCAATAATATGTATGAATGATGCGAATAAATACTCAATGGCAAAAACGGATATCTGGAGCCCGTCTAGATCTATGAGTGGCAGTTAGTTGAATCTATAACTTGTGACAAGAGAGTATGGATGATCAACTCATTTGATATGGATTCAATAAATGACACGTTTAACTTTCTAGCGCCTCACAGGCAACATAGGTTATATACTCCCCAGGGAGCTGAGGTCAAAGTCGAGTGCACATTGATCCATTAACAGAGGTAATAATGTAGCACTTTGAACATGGGATTTGGCACATTATAAATTTGCACATCACCATCATCATCATCATGCACATCATCATCATCATCATTAGAATCAATGCCAAAAAATTGCTACAATGGTAACAAAAAGTTGATCGTCCATACTATCGTGTCACTTTAATTAGCTGCCTCATAATGAAACTGACTACAATGGACTATGCACTGTCTACAACTGGCATTTTCAAATATGGAGTGAGTGAGTGAGTATTCCCCGCTTTTAGAAATATTCCAGCAATATCATAGCGGGGAACACTAGAAATTGGCTTCACACATTGTACCCATATGCGGAATCGAACCCTGGCTTTCAGTGTGATGAGTAGAGGTGTAACGATACAGGAGGGTCGCGATACGATACGTATCGCGGTACAGGGGTCGCGATACGATACGTTTCACGATGCAGTGTTTACTGGTACAAGCTAAGCCAAGTTGATGTCTTTCTGCTCTCTAAAAGATGTGACAAGTACAGTTGAAGAAGATATAAGGTGTTTATTTACTGTTATAGCAAATTGTCAGCAATACAGTATGTTTTACTGAAACAACAAACTGGCTTTGAAACTGTTAAACGTATTTCATGTCTAAAAGTACCCCCCCTAGCGGGTTCAATATTTTGGGAAAAAAGAAATTTGAATATTATGCGCAGAAAAAAATTACACCGTACCCTTTCAGCGAAGTCCGGCAAATGAACGGGTGATGAGAAACTTCGTCAGTACAAATTCGAAATTTGAGATAAAAAAGCACCAGACATGTTGATTTACCGTTTAAATTGTATTTTTTGTTCAGCTAGGCATTGTTTTATATCCAGGGATTAAGATTACCTTGTGTATTTTCTTATAAACTAAGCCGGACACAGCAATCAGCTGTACACACGTTTTCTTGGAATCTACCGGTGATTCGGTCAAGATACACCCAATGATATAACCTTACAGGATTTTAATGCAAGGTTCGGCAAAAGTTGTATCTGAAACTATTTTTTTATCAGGAATGATATTTTCCAATATCTTGTTAATTTAGATGCAGCTTTTACTAAACATATTTAAAATAATAATAACCCTAAGAGAAGCAGCTAATTGCTATTGCCGGGTATTATTTTTTACATGGAACCAGTCTGACCAGTCACCGTCTCAAGGCTCCCATGCACGTGATTGCGAGAATTACGTGTTGACATAGAATCGTCCAACAACAAAAAATATGACTTTTAACGAATGATATATGTATCCATTCTCTGTCAACTAAAGTTCGTTTCAAGGCGTCAATAGTGGTAATCTGACCGTGGTTGCTGTTAATAACGGTGAGTTGTGCCATCTTCCGATCGCTTCACACACGATTTCGCCGAAATTAATTAAAACAATATTAAAAGGAATTTTGAATAAAATTAATGAAATAAGTTACAAACATAAGCCCGGATATACAAAGAACACTTTTTGTAGCCAGACAGTGTAATTACATGAATAATTTGCGAACTTCAGCATGGATTTGTTGACATGGTATTTCCGGTGTTACGTGCTCACGGTAATGTCTTTCCATGGGGGAAAAAACCTCAAAACTCATTAATTCGTGTGTAATGCACACCTCCTTCTTATACACAGCTGTGTTTTTTGGAAAAAAAGTGTGCACTATACTCAAGAAAATACGGTAAGTAAAACTGTGTTATGAAAATATCGTATGTATCGCGATACATGCATGCTTTCCAAATCGATGCATCGTATCGTGGGCTGTGCATCGGGATACAATACTGTACATGCTGTATCGCCGTATCGTTACATCACTAGTGATGAGTGAACGCTTTAACCACTAGGCTACCCCACCGTCCCTTCCAATATGGGGAAACGAACAACACAACATATATAATTGTACTAAACAATTTAGGTGACCTCCGCAGATATTTGCCTGTCTCTTCATTAACCTCTAATTTATTTGGCCAGTCAAATTTAGTTACTTGATCAAATTCATCTTACCTTAACATGTTAATCATGCTTTTTTTATTGTTATAGATGATTTTTTTAAACATCCCAATCAGGACTCGATTTAGCTTCATAAAACATGCACTAGTGGAAGCTATTATTGAAAAATGCATCCTAATATTAATGTCTACATAAAACAATATACATATTTGTCTAACCCTTACTTGTCCACGCGTCAATCTTTGAACACATTCAGTACCTCTAAGCTATATTTACCATACTATATAACTCATCGTGGTGTTGTGTGTAATTCAGGACACATGACACAGTCATCAGAGATCTGACAATATACTTATTTAGATGTGCATTTACGTTTAAACTTTGATAAATTTATTAGACCAGGGTGGAACTTGGTTTTGTCTTGTGCAACTAGCTTTTCATGTCAACATGCTTGTTAAATCAAGTTCCTTAAATCAAGCACATATATATAAAGCACAGTAAAGTACTATCTCTCACGCACCATATAGTAAAAATTAAATAAGTGGAGTAAAATTCAACACAGTTTTAATTGCAGCGTTAGAAATTGGCACTAGTCCTGTAGTCCTTGCCAAACTGCCCAGTATTTAAGGTATCATAAGAACTAGCAGAAATTTGACATTTCTAATGGTTTTGCTATATGTTATTAATTATCAGGACTAGTGGACAAAAAATGTTAGTTTCTACAGCTGAATGGCTAGCGCTTTCAACTAGTACCTCCAACAGGCTAGGCTGTACAATACAACAGTCTGCAACTGTATTACATTCTCATACAGCTAGTGTGAGTTTTCTGAACACCGCTTTTAGCAATATTTTAGCAATATCCCCAGAAGTGAGTGAGTAGGCTTTAACGCCGCTTTTAACACTATTCCAGTTATATCGTGGCGTGTCAGCTAAATGTGGGAGGAAAGCCCGAAGTGATGCCGGTATCAGACGTTTACCACTTCGGTGAAACCTACGAGCACGGGTATGGTGCTGACAAACCTAGAAACATAATCGGGGCTAAACCGGGATTCGAACCCACAATCATAGGTTTCTGGCCTGTCCAAGGGACGCAACTCTGCACAGCGAATCGCGGCGCCTAAGACGACTGGGCCACCTGTGCCCCCAATATCACCAGAAATAGGCTTCCCACATTGTACCCTTGTGGAGAGTCAAACCCGGGCCTTTGGTTCACAATTCAACACTTAAACACTAGGCTACCCCACTGCCCCTCCTACAGCAAGAGGCACACCAATCATTTACAACACATCTCAAAGAATAATTCCAATAAATACCAAAGGATGGAAAAACAAATTTTAACTTAAGAACAAAAAATCAAACAGTGAACAAATATTCCTGATCTGAACAATTCTCACGCCTAGAATGAAACACGACAACCGTGTCTGGAACATGTCAAATCAATGAACAGCAACATTAACATGAAAGCTTAACCTTCCACTCTGCATGTCTTCATTCCTGGGAGAACTGAACAGAAAACAATTATTGTGGCTACTATTCCAGTTTGTCCTAACTAGATGATAAAGGTGTTTACATAGGATTCCAAACTAAGTGCCATTGGTAGGCATACTAGAGAAAACCTATTTATTTTTTCAAAATTGGGATTTATTTATTAAAGTTCTTATTTTCTTAAATTAGGACGTATTTTAACATTGCATTCAATGCAAAAGTGTAGTTCCAAGCAGTGAACCCTGTTTGATCGTCTGGTCCTGTTGGCAGTGGGACAAGTCAGCTTCCCAATAACATTGGCTACATCTTCCTGAGGCAAGGGAGTTAATTGACTATAAAAATCCTGTTTCCACCCTGGCCGAACTAGGCTGAAATTATGGAGTTATACCTTGCTGGATTAACGAGTCTATGCATAGTCCAATCAAAATCACGTAACGAAATTGACATCCCGTTCGTAAGCTGCCATGAAGATTTTGGTTGACTGCAAGATTTGCAAAGCAGGTGGACGTCAATTAAGCGTCAACATATACTTTCCAAATCTTTTCATGTTTTTAATGAAGGTGCTTGTGATTTGATGCACTTCGCGAAGTAAGACCTGTTTTATTACAACAAAGATCGCCACTGGTGGTACTATGATCGAGGCAGTAAATCCCATCCAAGTTCATCAAAGGTGGGAACTGGACTTTTACAGTAGGTTAACTCCCTTGCCTTGGGAAAATGCATTGGTTATCACAGTTTATAGTTATAACTACTTGGGTTGGGAACTGTTACTGACATTGGCTGCAGACTTAGGGCCTCTGAGCATCTCTAAAGGTCGAGATAAACCCCCGTATTGCAGATGACTGATTGATTGGTCTGTGACTTTAGCCACTAGTCTCTGAGTCTAGCAACACACCGTTGGAGCAAGTTTGTTTGTTTGTTGTTTAACACCGCACTCAGCAATATTCCAGCTATATGACAGTGGTCTGTAAATAATCGAGTCTGGACCAGAGAATCCAGTGATTGACATCATGAGCATCGATCTACTCAATTGGGATACGATGACATGCATCAACCAAGTCAGCGAGCCTGACCACCTGATCCCGTTAGTCGCCTCTTACGACAAGCATGGGTTTCTGAAGACCTATTCTTTACCCAGAGTTGGAGCAAGTAACCTTATTATTATCCACTCTGCACACCATCCACAATATGACAGTCTGGTCAACTTTTTAAAACAGTACCATGGTTACTGGTCGCTTACAAATCAAAGTAACTCGGAACTAATCCTGTGTAAAAACATGGATCATAAACCTATTTTATTTGCATTTACTTAGTGAAAATTGGGGGACAAGACACTCTGTCAGAATCATTTAAGCAGTGGGTCCTTTTCAACCTGACATTGTGCAGTCTTTAGCCACAGTGTCAGCACCATACCAGTGCTCGTGGGTTTCACCAAAGTGGTAAACGTCAGAGACCTGCATCACTTCAGGTTTTCCTCCCACATTAAGCTGACATGCCGTGATATAACTGGAATACTGTTAAAAGCGGCGTTAAACCCAACTCACTCACTCACTCACTTTTGGAATTTTGATTGAAATTTGCTGCAGACTTGATGCGAAATATTGGCCACTGAGCACTGAGATCTGTATGGGTTAACGATTGAACGCAGTTTTACCCTTTTAGCAATATTCCCATCACAACATGAAACAAATGATTATAAAGTGGTTGTTTATGTGACAATGTCTGTTGTGGCGTCAATATCTAGTGTAAATTTCTTATAGGTATATTGAACAAAATACAACATAAACTTGGTTTAAAATATTGTGATGAATCTGGCAAAATCTGGAAAATTCCGCTGATAATCATCCTTATTTATGACAAATTTCTACTGAAAGTGAAGCTGAAATTGTTTGAGTGAGATTCTGATATATAATTATAAAAAGCAAGTGACAAAAGTAGACTCACAAGTTGCCGATTTCTGTTGGTGGCTTGTACTTGAGCACCCTGAGGAGCTGGAACACCCTAATGGCGGTCTGATCGGGACTCTCCTCTCGGATGTCAATCTTGTGCTGAAAAATGTTACATTCTGAGGGTAGAGACCAGGACAGCTGAACTTTCATTCTGAGTTTCAAAGACTGTAAAATAAGTAACAGTGACCAGGGTATCACGTAGCCTATCCATGAAGATCAGGGGTGGAATAGGTCCTCAGCAACCCATGCTTGCCGTAAAAGGAGACAATGCTTGCCATAAAAGGTGACGATCGGGATCGGGTGGTCAGGCTCGCTGACTTGGTTGATGCATGTCATCGTATCCCAATTGCGTGGATCGATGCTCATGATGTCAATCACTGGATTGTCTTGTCCAGACTCGATTATTTACAGACTGCCATCATATAGCTGGAATATTGCTGAGAGTGGCGTCAAACAACAAATACAAACAAAACAAACCTAGCCTATGAAGGTTGGTCATCATGACTCATTGTTCTTTGAGAGTCAGGAACACAATTGAGAGAGTAATGCATGACATTTAATCTGCAGCATATTTATATCACAATATAACTTGAAGCAAGATATTACCTCAGCCTTGAAGAGCTTAAAAACTTAAGTCAATATCACGAACATTCTTTAGTGAACAATTAGTGAGTGAGTGAGTGAGTTGGTTTTAATGCCACTTTTAACAGTATTCCAATTATATCGTGGCGTGTCAGCTTAATGTGAGAGGAAAGCCAGAAGTGATGCAGGTCTTAGACGTTTACCAGTTCGGTGAAACCCACGAGCACTGGTATGGTGCTGACAAACCTAGAAACATAATCAGGGCGAAACGGGATTCAAACCCACAATCATCGGTTTCTGGCGTGACCAAGGGACGCAACTCTGCACAGCGAATCACGGCGCCTTAGACGACTGGGCAGCTCATGCCCCCTTTGAGAACAATTATGTAATTTCTGTTACCATAGTTACAGTCTCTTGGGCGTTTTTGTCGTCCTGGAAAAGTGCTCACTTATAACATTATGCTGTGTCAAATACAATCATAATAGTCCATAAAAACTTATTATTAGGATTTTTGGGGATGTTTTGCGAGTCCAGACTGCACTTGGAGATGATTGCCATTTCAATGATATTCCACATTGTCATTTATTGAGCCACACATTTTCAAATTCATTTAAAGTTTGAATAAGCACCTGTACAGATTTCCATAATTTATAAAAAGAGATGATATCACATAACTCAGTACATATCAGATATGACATAACTCAGTAAAATTATGATATGATATCACTAGCACTCACCTTAGGGTCAATGAGGGCGAGGATATCATTGAGGACCTGTAGGAGCTGCAATGGCTCCAGGGAATCGAAGGATATCAAGTTGAAGTTCTTGTTGAATGGCTCCTTGGCCAACTCCTGCACAATGCACTTCAACTGCTCACTCATGGCTGCTGTCTAGTCTCCCACTGGGAAGAAATGAAGACTTTTGAAACAGGTCATCATAATACAAGGAAATTCCAAGATGAAATGGCCAAAAGTATATTTGAAAAAAACAATGAAAAAAACAACAATAAACATTTGTGACTCATGTGAGTAGTGAATTAATTCATGGTTACTTAATCAAGATCATTAAGAGGGCAAATTTCATTAAAGATTAATCTGTCTACTCTTTGTTTGTTTGTAGTTTAATGCCGCACTCAGCAATATTCCAGCTATTTTCTTAATTCCGACGAACAATCCACTGAAAACACTAATGCTGCTTAGCAAACACTAAAGAATTTGCGTTTAACTTTGTCATGGTAGAAGGGAGATATACAGTCAAGTCTCGTTAATCCGACACTCGTTAATCCGACACTCGGCTTTATCCGACACAAATGATGGGAACCGATTGATTCAGTGCTATTTAGTCCCGTTAATCCGACATTCTCGCACTCCGACTCCGACACACCTAATTTGCAACGAATTACCGAAATCACTCATTAATCAGTCTCGTTAATCCGACACAGTGATCAGCGTACTCCGTGGTCATCTGCCCGCGAGTACAAAGCCAGTGTTTTGACATGCACTGGCTGCAGAGATTAACTTAACAATTAACAGGAAAAGCTATTCAAACCTGTATGTACAAAGCTATACAAATGTAGTTTACAAATTGAAGCCAGATTAATGTGCATGAAGCCAGTTTTAAATACGACTCACCATGGTTAGAAACAGAAAACACTGACAGACTATTTTAAGTAGATGAAGCAAGTTGTTAAGACAGTAGCACTTGCATTTACACGAGGAAACGTGTGTCGTTGATGTGATAAATTCAGTGAGTAATGTTTCTATTGTTATGTATAAATGGGAAATTTTTTATTATTTTTGCACTGTCATTAATTATAAATTAAGGAATGAATGAATAAACAACTTAACAATATTAATATTTTGTTTCTAATGATTTTATTACAAGGTACACACGGTTATTATCTATCGTGAAGACGTCCGATTTTCGATCACAAATCAATTTATTTCGTTAATCCGACATACTCGTTAATCCGACACAATCATGTGCAACCAACGATGTCGGATTAACGAGACTTGACTGTACTTGATATATATATATATATACTGTGATTCCAATGTACATGGTGTTGAGCTTGGTTACCTGCCGATTTAACTCACGCTGCATGTATTGTGAACTAATTGTGCATAGCTTTGTAGGTTGTTTTAAGAATCATATTTTCTCAAACCAGTCTGTTGACATCCCTGACGCATAATATGTGTGTTTTCTTAACTCATATAGTGGCAAGGAGCTTCTCAAGTTCATATAGGAGTCAGTTTTGGTTATCATATTAGGAAACAATTGTCTCAAGTCTAAAGAAAACGAGCAGAAAAAAAACTGTTAATAAAATGTAGCGGGGAGCTTATCAAGTGTTTTTCAAATGATTCATACATGCATTGTCAGATTTGGTTATCACATTAGATAACACTTGTCTCTGTTCTAACAACATGAGCAGAAAGAATGAGTGGTGATTGTTAGCATGGTTAGGGCTGCAACAAATACACTGTGGGGCGAATATGATTCATATCACAAATATAGGGTAATGAATATGAATATTAATTCACAAATACAATAACAAGTCACTGAGTCAGCAGTTGATGTATTATTTATTAAATTCAGTGAAACAATAACAAAATACATTATTTGACATGGTTTGTCAATTATTAATATACATTTACTGATTCCCTCTCTTCTCAGAGAACTGAATATACATGTAATTTGATTATGGTTTCAAAAAAATCAAAGTTAGTAGTTCAGTAAACAGTAAACTTTAATTTTTGAATATTTAAAAAAAAAATGTAGAAAAAAGGGGTGACAAATGGTCTCTGGACGCAGGACAGTAAATATTTTGATCAGTGAATTGTATGAATGGTAGAACCACAAACAGATAATCAGGATATTCTATCATATGGTATTTTTATCAATGATGAATGGGCCATGTTCGCTAACTTTGATCCGTTTTTTGACAGCAACATGATTTGTCCCATAATCTATATCTACCCAAGTGTCAAACATTACTTGAGTGTCAGTGCAGTGATACGGGACAAAGAACTATTAACTGAAATCAAACGCTCGTGGGTTCTAACTTTCCTGAGAATTGAAATGCTATGACATAGTCTTGCCATGTAGGCTGCAGTCTTGCCGTTTTCCTGCTCCTAACGCATCAGAACTTTTGACTCAAGTTGGTAACCAATGTAAACTGTAAGAAATTAATGTGTATCCATGTTACAAAGTCTTCTTGACAATAAGTAATCAATCCACTGACAAAATCATTTGATGACACATTCACTAACTAGGAACACTCCATGTACACCACACATGTTATCCAGAAACAAAACAAGTCAAAGCACCTGAAAAGATTCCGTTCTTGTCCAGTGTTTTTCTATCTCGAGCAGACAAGAATGCAGCCTCGTTTTCACATGGAAAGTACATCCGGTAAATCTAGAACCAAAATGTTTTGTAATTGCATCATTTCTACAATAAATATCAAACACGTTACTATTTATAAAGGTTTAATATTACATTTTATATTCACAGTCAATAGTATATGTTATGTCTTCAATGACTTTAACGCGAAAGCATGATTATGACATGATAGCCTTTATTCGAGAGTTATCAGACGTGTACTTCCGGTTACAAGATGGCATCCGAAAAGAAGGATTCGAAGGTTTCTTTCACCTTTATTTTCTTTATTTACGTTTGTCTTTTTCATGCCCCTGCCTAGTTATATCGATTACCAAGTCAATTTCCTGTTTATGTAATATTTGCACCTGAAATTCCTTCATTAAACATGAAAAGTCAGGTTACCGGCTCATTCTCTGAAACCGGCAGCTTTTGATAACGATATACCATATGGGCCATATGGCCTGCCCTTATGGTCTTGAATTGTATTGCAGACACAACCACCATAGTTTTGAACTAAGTGTAATCATTTCCCTGCATATGTGGGACCTCATATGTGTATTCAGATTTTGGCTAGTACACAGAAATGGCAGCTCAGAAAATATACCTGGGTAACATACTATCCATTTCCTTGCCTTCCCTATATATATAGTATGAAAATTCAGGGGTAACTGCAGTATTTGGGTCCCTGCATTTGAAGGTTTCCGTAAACATGTGGCAGCCTTTGGCAGTTTCCTTAGATATATTTACATGATATATGAGTGTACAGTGATGCGCCATATGTGCATTATCAGCTATACTTTCGAATAAGGTACACAGGTACACAGATCCATGTTTTGACAATGATTTGTAAAATAAATGTGGATCAATCACATGTCATGTTCACACACATAGTAGCATTGACTGCTGTATTATAGGCCTATTTGTAAACGGTCTGTCAGCCTTTTCATTTAGAATTGAGGTAAAAAGTTCAGGGGTAACTGCAGTATTTGGGTCCCTGCATTTGAAGGTTTCCGTAAACATGTGGCAGCCTTTGGGAGTTTCCTTAGATATATTTACATGATATATGAGTGTAAGCGTGTCCAAATCCGTTAGGATGCATTTTAGAGGTAAAGGAACATTAAAATTGAAATGAGCATGAACATGATGAAAGGTTTGGTCTGAACATTGTAAAACTTTGCTCTTGGGCCGAGAGTTTTACTGAACTTGTGCATGTTGTGTTCACGTACATTCGTGTTGTTTCGTTGCGTGAGAACAATTACTTCATGTATGGTCACTTGACTTTCCAAATTAGGGTCTATTAGATTACTATAGAGTGGTCTCTAACTGTGGAAGTAATCTAGTCCACATTTTTAACATTCCCGAGAAATTGGAGTGACATGCATTCACAGCGTTAGGCAACAAAAATGGTGCCTATAAAATCCCCTCCCTTCGACAGTAAGTCACGAAGTGCGCATGCATGGAACACTTTCTATTTGCAGACTTCCTTAAATATGATAAATATTCGTTCTGCTTTGGGGAACCAATTACTGCGGTCTACCTGAATGTTTATATGTGGTTGTAACAGGCACATGACCAAAAAAAATGTGTAGTCTTGGGGAGAGATGGCATGATGAGCCGTCTTGTTTGTTGAAAGTTTTGCACTTTAGGCATATATGCTAAGTGGCTAATCGTGGCTTCTGAGGATGTAATTGTAAGTAATTTTAAGTAGAAATAATCATGATAATGACCAGAATGATGCTGATGTTTGCTTACCATGCTTACAGGTAAGAATCAATGATAATGGTCATATTACTTATAATGAAACGATAATAAATCAACCGGAAATACTGCATTTTATTTTCACAGACTTCACCAAATCAGCAGAAAGATGAGGTAGTAATAGTTTATTATCATGTTCAATGGGCATATGGGAATTTAATTTATTTCAGTAATTTTCAAGACAATGTTGAACTGGCCAAAAGTATAAACTGAAGGGGTCAATCTGGCCTCTGTCCGGTTCCCATTGAAAAAGATGGTCTGTGCCAAAAACATTTGCATCTACCATCTTAAACTGTCAGTGTGTATTTGTTTCACTAGAACGTGTAGAATTGAGTCTTATAATATAAGCTGAGCTTACAAGACCAGAAGAAATCTTACAAGACTTAAGCTAAAGATACATGAGATTCACACTGGATACAATAAAACCTCATTAATCCGATCTGTTCCATTCAAAGTAAAAGTGTCCGGATTAATGAATGTTCAAATTACCATGGTTAACAAATCATTGGTAAGTATTAATGGGGGTAATGTTCCTTTAGCTATTTTCCCAACTGTAACCATCCTGAAGATGGGGTTTCCAGATAAACGGGGTCCGGAATAACTGAAGATTCATTACACAACTTGTAAAGGCTTCAGCATAGCCACTTGTGTGGTTGATGCAAGCAAATATTTGGAAAAGTTAGATGTTCTCTCTTGCTATTGCGTCCATTAGTACCAAGTTCTTGAAAAGAAGTATGAAGATCCTGTAATTAACATATTTTTCAAATCTTACAGTATTGTTCAATTTCTTTGAACCCTTGAAATTAATTATCGGAGTTCCCCCAGAGTCACATAAAACCATGAACTGTAAAATGAAAAACTAACGCATAGCCTTGTTAGCGCCAAGTTTGGGCTTGTAGACGCCAAAGTTTTTGTCACAGTGTGACAGACTGCTTAATTTTATCAATTCTTGAATGGACATTCAACAATATCATTACCAGGTTTTGTAAACATCTTCAGGACATTATGGTTGACAATCAATGAATGTCCTGTAAATGTAGCCATCATCAACCCTGGCAATGATACATGTATACGTAAATGATATAAAAAGAATGAATGATATTTGTAAAAAGGAATTTTAAACAAGTTGGATACTAGATAGTGATATTTAACATGCTATGAGCAGGATCAGGTCCGGGATATATACTGATGGACAAGGAGAATACCATGGAATGTTTTTCTAATCATAAAGTTAATAGTAGTTAATAGTTTCATTATTATATATGTATTGTTTAACATGTGTTTAACCTAAAATCGGAACAGAAATTCATTCACAAATGATACTTCCCTTCGAAATTGATTGACAAAACATCGGCGACAAGGAAATGATTTTGCTCCTATGTTGTTATCTCTCCTGTATCCATAGCAACTGACATTGCTGAGTTATCATAGTAATATGTACTTTAGTATGCTATAATGTAGAAAATAGAATCTGCATGTACAATTGGTGTCGGTGAGGATGAAACGCCTTAGCACTATATTTGTTTTTGCTATAAACATGATAAGCAATTACCTATTTATCATGTTATTGATGTTACATATATTAATATGATTAAAATGATTGAACCATTTTTGAAATAATCATATAAAATGCATGCAAAGATGGACTGGTTTCTAAGATGAAGTAAGAAAATTACAGAATGGCTGCAAAATAAATGATTCACAGGTTGAATCATGGTGAATCATGGTAATGCCAGACAGTCATTCAATATGTTCAAGATCCTCATGTACCTAAAAGCACACTAACGGTGGTCGGGTAGCCTAGTGGTTAAAGCATTCGCTCGTCATGCCGAGGACCTGGGTTCCATTCCCGACATGGGTATAATGTGTGAAGCCCATTTCTGGTGTCCCCTGCTGTGATATTGCTGGAATATTGCTAAAAGCGGCGTAAAACCAAACTCAGTCAGTTAAAAGCAAACTAGATAATGTTGTTGAACATGTTAAAACTTATATGAATTTTCTTAATGTCAGTTTTAACTGTAATTTCCTTGATAATCATGCATCAGAATATTTTTGTCCTTTTCTCACCTCCACTTGCTTGGTACACATGGTACAGGAGACATGTACAGTATCCTTCGTATATGGAAGTGCTGAAGTCGTGACTCATTTTTTTTTCAGCAGTGGTCTATTGAAGACAAACCTGTCAAGATTGACAGATGGGATCCCTCGGCATTGAAGAACTCATTAGACGATGCTGCTAAAAAGGTATGTGTTTTCAAATGGATTTGGTGGGCAGACTGAATGACTTGGTTAGTGTGTGCTTTCTCACCCTGACAGGGGCACGGGTGGCCCAGTTGTCTAAGGTGCCATGTTTCGCTGTGCAGAGTTGCGTCCCTTCGGCACGCCGGAATCCTATGATTGTGGGTTCGAATCCCGGTTAGCCCTGATTATGTTTCTAGGTTTGTCAGCACCATACCCGTGTTCATGGGTTTTACCGAAGTGATAAACATCTGAGACCTGTATCACTTCGGGCTTTCCTCCCACATTAACATGATTAAGCTGACACGCCGCGATATAACTGGAATACTGTTTAAAGCGTTGTTAAACCCAACTCACTCACTCACTCTTTCCCTGGCAGCTCCCTGCTCATAATATCAATCACTAAAGATTGTCTGGTCCATATGGTCCAGATTTGATAATTTACAGACCGTTGTCATATGGCTGTAATATTGCGGAGAGTGGCATTAAACAACAAACAAACAAATAAGAAATGACTCTATCCATGAATCTTGTACTCATTTGTGAATGCTGGAACACACAGAAGACTGAACCTGTCAATTTTACAGGTGCTGCTGGAGAACTTTGGCTACACGGAATCTCACTCACTCATGGACGGCCGACTTGCCATCTGTACCATCGCTGTGGGCTTCGCCATGTTTGCCCTCGTGTGGGACTACTTGCGACCATTTCCTGAATCTCGACCGATTCTTATCATGTGTGTACTGTCGTATCCTTTACAAGACATTGTTGCATATTTCAACATTCTCTACCATCATGGGTTCAAAAGTCCTTGTATTACAGTGACAATGGCACGATTAAAATATGTGTAGTTTGTACAAGTAAACAAGGTAATCATGACAGACACATGGAACATTATGAACATGTAAACGTGCTTAATGCAGATCCGGGGTAGAAAAGGTCTTCAGCCACCCATGCTTGCCGTAAAAGGCGACTATGCTTGTCGTAAGAGGCTAACGGGATCGGGTGGTCAGGCTCGCTCGATGATGCATGTCATCGCATCCCAAATGTGTGGATTGATGCTCATGATGTCAATCACTGGATTGTCTGGTCCAGACTCGATTATTAACAGACCTCTGTCCTATAGCTGGAATATTGCTGAGTGCAGCGTTCAACAACAAACCAATCAATTTCCCAAAAGTCCCACAGACGTTTGAGAAAACTATTTCAGGAAGAGTTATGCCCCTTGACCAGCAAGCTATTTTGTGCTGATGGGCGTGCTCACTGTGTACACAACGTACGTGGAGAAGGGCTACTTCCTGGTGGTGCGGGAGAAGGACCGTGCTGGGATGGACCCTGACAACATCTGGAAACTCTCATCCTATCTGAAAAAGTAAGTGCAGGTCGGGTCAGAAACCCCGCGATCATAAGAATTCCCACGAACTTAGTGGCTGTAAGATTCCCAGGAACCTGGTGGCCATAAGATTCCATAATCAGCACCCACACTAAGGCAATTTATTTCACTTTTTTACACTGCTTTTCTTTGTAAAAAAATCTTTGTTATGCACAAGGAAAATTCTGACTGTCATGTAAATGTTTGGTCTTAGTAAGATCCTCATGGTTTATTCTCCCTGCAGTGTTTTGTTGTATGATAAACAACACCCACAAATCATTTATTTTTTAATCATATATCATTGTTCTTTTGTTTCTTGCAGGTATGATGATGTTTATCATCTGTCAGCATCCTTCATTGATGGGAAAACAGGCGAGACACGCTCGCGAGACATCAGCCACTCAGTAGCCAAGTTCTTTGACGAGACCGGAACACTATGTGCAGACCTCTTTGAGCCGTTGATTAAGCAAGTGAAACAGAGCCTTGACACGGAGAAGAAGAAAAACTAATGCAGGGAGGGTTGTGTGTGGGAAAATGTATGTATGTGCTTTGTTGCAGGTGGAGGGTGAGAATGCTTCGAATTTTTGGAGATTGAAAGGGCTGGACTGGAAGGTGGGTGGGTGGGTGGGGGAGACAATGTTTGTAGGGGATATAGGTTTAGGATCAAAGGGATCGAGTTTCTGGGATGGATATTAATCAAAAAACAAAATCGCCTCCAGGGCTAGTGGGATTTTTGCTGCTACCCCTGCAAAAGGTAATCCATTTGAAATAAGAAGACATTCTTTTTTCAATCTTTAATGCCTCAAATGTTGTGCCAAAATTAATGTCTATCTCTGAAATTTAACAATGAGAGTCAAGAGGATGATATATGATTTACAGCATATGTAAAAAAAACAGTGAATGGGCTTGTAAAATTACAACTTTTTTATTTCGGGCTTACGGGCAAGTGTTAATTTCCAACTTTGGGTATGGGTTAGGGTGGGGAAAAAGGAGCACATGAAGGAGGACAGATTTGATATACTGTAAATCTTGAAATTAACGCGAGCGTGAACTAAATGCCAAAAAAGCGAGTGGTCTTTGCTGGCATTAATTATCTTTGCATTTATGTCTCCAAAATGACTATCAACAATAAGACGGCTTCACTGCACACTTTGGATAGCGGAAATACCAACTTGAATATAGACACAAACACGGTTTATTGAGCAGCAGTTGTAACAAGTATATTACTGATATAACAATGTCATTCAAAGGATAGAAAATACACAATGGGCATCGGTGAGTTATCACTGCTGGGGTTAAGAGTTCTACCCACTCGTGTCAAGCTTGTTGACACCTCCGCATACCAATCAGTGAACTGTTATTGGTTCAATTATATTAATGATTTTGAACTTCCCTAATGTAAACATAAAAACTGTGTTGTTTTTAGGAAAACACTGTTTATTGTTTTTTACGGAAGATCTCTACTTAATTCTAATATGCGGTGCTATTTGCTGTTTGATTGGATTAAGGTAGATTTAGATTAAGGTAAGGTTGGATTAAGGTAAGGTTGGATTAAGGTAAGGTTGGATTAAGGAAAGGATATGCATCATTCTACTGGGGATGGGGTCGGGGGAGTCGCATTGATATTGAGTCGAATTTGGGGCTAGCAGTCGTATTAATTTGGAGACGCATTAATTTCCAGATTTACAGTATATAAACAAGGGCACAATGCCTGGAATAGACTCAAATTGGTCCAAAATGGAAGGAATGGTAAAACATTTGAAAGCAATGGTTTTGATTGAAAGTAAGCTTATTTTTAAGAACCTTTGTGTTTGGAACATTGCTTCCATGAAGGTCTTACCATCTAGCTAAAGAAAACATAAAAGCTCCAGGGTAAGTAAACTTATGTGTGAAGATAGACATAGTCCATGGATAGAACGTGGAGTTAACGTTTGTATGAAATCTTTGTTTTGTATGGGATGTGAATTGTTCCAGCTGATTGTCGTAATGAGAGATGTGTCTTATTTCGGAGCCATTGGTTATGTTGTTGTTTATGTTGGTTGATTTTGTTTTCCCATATGTGTTTTCCATCAACTCCAATCTGGAACATGTTATTGCCTTAATCAGCTGTACCTCAATCTGTGTTTTCATCCCAATCAGGCTGAAACTGAGATTGTATGTTTTGTCATTGTCATACATCATGAAATAAAAAAGTAATTCTTCATTCATTTGTCATTAATTTATGAAAACAATTGTGAAAGTGAGTGATTCTTTGTTATCAGCAAGCTATACTTGGTTGTATCCAACTGTAATGCTGCGAGCGGTCGGGTAGCCTGGTGGTTAAAGCGTTCACTCGTCACGCTAAAGACCCAGGTTCGATTCCCGACATGGGTACAGTGTGTGAAGCCCATTTCTGGTGTCTCCCGCTGTGATATTGCTGGAATATTGCTAAAAGTGGCGTAAAACTAAACACTCGTTCACTCATATAGCTGGAATATTGCTGAGTGCAGCGTTAAACAACAAACCAAACAAAAAAAACATATTAATTTCAGTGAAGAAATATGACATTAATTTGTTTATATATGCGCAGCTGCACAGCTTCTGTCTTGTGCTAAAATGCTAAATTATAACGTAGTACACCTTAAATTGGACCATAAACAAAAATGTTCTGCACTGAAATAACAAACCATCCACAAATCCTTGTATCGTTATTAAAATATTTCTGGATTGATGAACGTAGGACGAGTGTTAGACATACACCGTCCCATTAAGATATATAGGATAGTACATTTCTGACACTCGTGTGATATTCAATAATCCATGTAGAAATATTTACACAGCGACCTGTGAAACTAACAGGAAGTTTAAGCTCTAAACTCGCACCCGGCAAACAACGTATATGTCTATTTTACGAACTGCGCACAACGTTAAGAAACGGACGTAAAATGAACGCATTTATGCTGACAACCGGCCTTTGAAACTCAAACTGTGAAAATGGAGTGTATTGAAGACCACCGTCGTGGGGGGTAAGTTTGGTTTAACGCCGCTTTTAGCAATATTCCAGCGCCATCCTTCAGTAGCCAGTCTACATCTAATTAGATCCGAAGGGATTCCGAGTAAGAATATAGGTCCCCAGCAACCTATGCTTGTCGTAAATAGAGGATATTATATGAGTGTTCATGTCTCTGTGTTTACAAGAGTGTCTAAATTTCGATATTTCCCGAGAGAGAGCAAAGGAAACATCGGGATTTAGGCACGAGTGTCGTAAACATAGAATGACATGAACACGAATATAATGTTTTATTTATTACCGAAGAAGATGTCTACATACAGAGACAATTTGTTGTGTTTAAGGTTACACACAACCAAAATGTTTTCCCATAGACTTCTATAGTAACGTTATATATATTTTTTTAAATAACTAAGCATTTAACAGCTATTACCTGTACGTGTGTGCACAGTTTGTCCTTAGAGCAGCAATATAAAAATAAAAAATGACTAGCTTAGCCAGCTCCTTTTCCGAGTACAGGAAGCTAAACACACCACCCCCAGTTTCGCACCAAATGTCACCTACTTGAAAATAGCTGTGGTCACATTCAGCATAAGTCATCATGTTGAAAAAGACAGAACTAAATATAGAAAAACATGGTCAGTTTTAATAACTGGATGGATGTACATTTAAAAGACATAAAAATCTTACAGAATATGCTCCAATCACAGCCTGCAGATATCTCTCGATTGCACTGAAGGCTGGTTCTGATTTGATGTAGTAGAACCTAAGGACAGCAAGTCGAAAACAGCAGAAATACAATTTGTCGAATGACGTTAACAATCTTCAGCTAAGACGTCGTTTCTAGTGTGCCCTCATTCCGACCTCACGTCACAATAAGATCCAAATGACGTCAACAATGCCGTCTGGATGACGGAAACAATGCGCTGTTGTCTCGTGACGTGATATGACCCTACGGCACATATAGAGAATCTTACCCGAGTGTCTTTTGATATCAAATATATCAACACGAGTTGATAAAAGCGGAAAAAAACCTCCGAGGCTTATATCAAAAGACACGAGGGTGAGATTTTATTTATCATCCAACATCATTCTTCCAACCTTTTTCAGCTTGTATACAGTAATAAGCAGCGTCTACTAACAGTTCTACTAACAACTTTAGTAGCAGAGCCATTAGTGATGTCATTTGATTGTGACTTCATGGTAACAATGACGTCACAATGGTCTGCAAAGCATTGTGATGCAATTTCATTGCAGCGATATCTACTATGTAGATATTGCTTGATATCACCCAAGCGATATCTCCCGTGGGAGCCAGTTTTGGATGATAAATGATTTTTATTAACCTCGATATGTTTGCCCTCGTAGGTAATAAATGTAAGAATTGACTTTCACTTTGTTTGAGTTTCAGAGAGCCAAATTCTATGAACGTGGGGGCTTGCGAAAAATACACATTGTAAACATGCAGGGTGTATCTGTTACGAGTTTGGCGCGGTTCGTGGAAAGTTTTAACGATGATGGACAGTAATTACGCTCACAAAGCCCAGAGGCCAAAGAGCCGCACCTTCCATGAGACACACGAAGCAGGATGCTATGAAAAATGGTGTTGCATCCGCATCATGTAACTGTACACGTCGCCTGCAACACATTCCGTTCAGGAAGTCCCACAGGGAGTCCAGGGTTTAAAACAATAATGATGACGTCATGCTATTGTTGTTGTAGTTGATTCTGAGCCAGGAATTCATTGACCTTTCTGATCGTGTGTTACGTGCAAGTAAAACTGACGCAACTTCAGGTCATTATCCAAGATTACAGAGAAATTGTACGTCACTGAGTTGGAAGAAGACTCTCGAAACTGCTGATTCATTTAACATTAAAGTTCACCTTCTTGCACTTAGGGGCGGTCTGGTAGCCTAGTGGTTAAAGCGTTCGGTCGTCACGCTGAAGGCCGGGTTCGATTCCCGACATGGGTACAATGTGTTAAGCCCATTTCTGGTGTCCCCCGCCGTGATATTGCTGGAATATTGCTAAAAGCGGCGTAAAACCATACTCACTCGCTCACTCACTCACTCTTGCACTTACGAGTCCCGAAGGTGTGGGGGTGGGGGGTGGAGGATGGGGGAGGGTTTGGCTCTACTTGCGAAGCCAACAGGCTCTCATGATGTCTCCATTACTGTTACTGTATTCCACTAAACCTACTAAAATAAATAGGTTGGTCATGTGACTCGGCTAATCACATATGTTCCGGCCTTGACCCAGTGATGAATACCAACAACCAAACTTCATGTAGCCTGACCGAGATATCTAACAGACAACGATACCAGGTTTTCAATGTAGAGATGGGTTATTTAACGGAGCTACTTTGAATTTGGCACCGAACGTGCCGAAATCGGCGGTTTCAAAAAGAGGTGGTAATTGTAGATCGGGTACCTGACTGACCGGTCAGAATCGAGGAATTTCAAAATTCATGGTTCAGTGATTTTTATCCGGACTGTCAAACCATTCTTGATAGAACGGGAATATATTAACCGACACCAAGAACAGTTTTTAGTTTGCATACAATGGGTGTTTTGATATACTTGAGTAATTTGTACCTAAATAACAAATCTTTTCGGAATATATTAAAATGAGATTTATTTCCAGTTACTTTACGTCTAGAATGTACATAACAACAATGTTTAAAAACAAATTCCCATATGATCATGTTTTGTTGGTTAAGTACCAGACTACTGACAAAATTGGGGGTATTATGAGCCTGGTGCTACTGAAGTCCCCTCTCCCCTCCGCCCCCCACCCCCCCCCCCCCCCCCCACCCACCCACCCCCCCCCCCCACCCCACCCACCCGACCCCCCTGTACCCCCTGTGCTCATATATACTTTAACAATGTTTAATGTGCGATTGTGTTATTTTCTATGTACTAGGTGTTCTTATGTTCTTTGGTTCCAGGGCCGGTCGGGTAGCCTAGTGGTTAAAGCGTTCGCTCGTCACGCCGAAGATCCGGGTTCGATTCCCGACATGGGTACAATGTGTGAAGCCCATTTCTGGTGTTCCCCGCCGTGATATTGCTGGAAAATTGCTAAAAGCGGCGTAAAACCATACTCACTCACTCTTTGGTTTCACAATTACAGAGACTGGTTTACCGAGAAACCTGTCAGGATATTCACAATAGCAGAATAATGTTCTCGTAAAAGGCAACAAAAGCATGACTACATTATTTGTATTATATCAAATGTCTGAATACTGCTGCAGGTCTTCGTTAATTAACACCAAATTTCACGGTCTACGGTGAATTTGGAAGAGAACCCCTGTGTACTAAAATACATAAACGCATTATCAAATTTTGGTATAGAATTTTAACTGATAAGGAAATCCGAAATTAATATAAAAAAAAGGTATGCCAGTTTATCACTCTGAAAGGACCCCATATTGCTGAGAAACTCCCATGGACTTATTTTGTGCAAAAAATACTTGTGGACTTACTGAATTGTTTGATAACCTATTAAAATGTTCTAAACAATGGCTGACTTCAAGATAGAATAAATATTCAAAGATCAATATGCTAAACTGACGCAACGCTATTATGGAAAGTTCCAAAGTTGTGTATTATTAAAAGAAATTTAAAGAAGCTTTATCTTTTGAAAACTATCTCTTCCCAACCAAACCCTCTCCAGCAGCGAATCCATGCTATGTACAAATTTCATCCCATAATATTTTTTGTGTGTGTGTGAGTGTGTGTGTGTGTGTGTGTGTGTGTGTGTGTGTGTGTGTGTGTGTGTGTGTGTGTGTGTGTCATGCACTACCGTTTGTGGGTTTTCGAGTAATATCCGTGCACCTTTCTTTAAGTATACACTTGTAAGCACATAAACAACCTCATAATTTCAGTTGAGAGAATAATGGTTTGGTCGAGTAGGTCTGAGTGTACTTGTAATTAAAGTACTTAAAACGAAAATGAATGTTGTGTGGTAAAGCACTTTAATGTTAAACTAATCCTCAGAGCAGAAAGTTGAGACTTGGCAGCCTAAATGTGTGTGTCTGTAAGATAGACTTAGCGCAGGTGCAAGAAAGTCAGTAGGTCACGGAAACCGAGATGAAAGGAATCAGGTCACATCGCAATATCTCGGATATGTAGTCTCCCCAGGGAGCTGAGAATGCAAGTTGAAGGAACATGGACCTCAAGAAGATCCAGGTTAGAATTGGCCTTCAGCATTCTCTG